ATTAGCAGAGTGGTCATACTTTAAACACTTCATTTGCTACTGATACAGTTTTGCCTGGAAAACAGTTACAAATTACAGAATTCAATTTTCCAAATGGATTATTCCATAACTAGACAGAAAGACTGGTTAAATTACTTTTGCTGTTTCAAGGTAAGATTAATACAATCGGATTAAAAGTTAGATCCCCTCAAGGAACTGGTGTGTTCCTGTCAGCACTAAGCAATTAGTTGGGTTTGTATTGGAATATTAAGGATTCTTCTGGTACATTGCAAAGTCAAAAAAGTAACCTGGAGACATTAGAATTTCTTCCTTTCTCCAGTATTGTTAAAGCATGTAGCAATTTGTGGTTGCTTATTTACATTTAACAAGTGAAAACTAGAGAGTTACCTGAAAGGCAACTCTCTGCATAGATTTTGTAGCCTGGGTTCTAATTATGTTCTCTCCCTTGTGGGACCCAATGAATTAAGTGGGCAATTTGCTTTGTGTATGCAAATTCCCAGTTCTCCTCATAAGCTACAGATGACTGTTCTCAGACAACCTGTATTTTAGGACACGGCAATCTTTCCACTTTTAAAAAAAAACAGAACAAAATTAGAAAGTATTTAAAGGTCAATATTACACCAAAAAAAAAAAATAGGTACTTTTTTTTCTGTTTCTGTTTTAACTCTTCTGGTGGTGAGGATGTCCAAGTTCAGGCCCTGGTGCAGGGCTGCAGACAAGGATACATCCATCAAATGCAAACCAACTGGACTCTCCAAAATACCACTGAGACGCCTCAGAAACACTTCTGGGGATCCAGAATTCAGATGGATAAAGACAAGATCTTGATGGATCGAGGTGCCAAGGAGTTGCTGGATAACCTTAGCCCAGTGACTGGTACCACCACGGTGCCACCAGCCCCAGTGCTCCAGTCAGCCTCTTTCCACTGATAAATCAAAGGAACATTTGCACTTTAATCCATCATAAGAAAAAAAAAAACAGTAACAGAATGAAACATTTCAGTGAAAGAGGCAGGTGCTACTGAAAAATTAGCTCCATTCATCATTTTCCTTTTTCTACCCTTTACAGTTTTATGATGGATTAAACCTCTCCCGAGATCGATGGGGTGAGCAGGGGCTCCTCAGTTTTCCAGATTTGATGCTGCTTTCAACAGCATTTGAGAATCACTTCAGAACCCAGGTAGGAAGTTAATGACCATTATTTCTGAAACACTGCTAATCTGTAGGTGAGGTTTTCCTCCTACAGCATCATCTTTCAGAACTGAACCACATTCGCCCTCAGTTTCATTAGCACAGGTTTATGGCACAGTGACACTTGACACGTTAACAGGACTGGCTGGGCTTCTCATTTGCAGGATTAACTTCATTGTCACAGACAGTGACAGCAGTCTCTTTCCAGGAGTGACAGAATGAGAGTTGTCACAGCAAAGCCTCTCCACACCATGGAGCTGTTATCACAACAGCTGCTCTTGCTGACAAAACATGTATCAAAAGAGCAGTGACTATCCCAGACCTGTGGATGATGCCTTGATACCATCAAAAGCAGGTGACAAGTAGTGATAGTTGAAGGCTCTGCCATATTCAGTTATTTGTTGGAGGTTTTATTAATAATTAACTATGGTTTTTATCAGGATCAGTTCATCCACAGAGGGGTACAGAGCAGCACTGACATGTTCTCTTTTTTCAGCAGCTCATATTTAACACTGTTAGAAGCTGTATCATTCACCACCTTAGAATTTCACACGTTTACAAGGTTTATTTAAAAAAGAAACTCATTTTTATCCACCTGTGCTCTTTGTAAGTGAACACATTTTGCCCAGAAAATGCTGTTTAATATTCATTAGCTCCCTTTCAGCAAGGTTTGTTAAAAATAAACGGGGACCTGTCTGCTTGGAGAGCTGATGATTTTCCAACCAGAAAGCAGCCCTTCCATCACAGAAAACAAATGGGGACACTGCAGAGCCCCAGAGTCACTGCAGAAGGGACACCCCACTGCCCCAGGCAACCTCATCTCAACCTCCCCACAGCACTGAGGCATCATTCCAGTGTGGCCAAGAGGGGCAATAAACATGGAGAACAAATGCCAGTGGCAACATTCCCAGGGCAGAGATCGCTGTCCAGCCTCTCAGCAAGCACATCCACAGCATCCAGGCCACCTGGATGCCGGGAAGAGAGATCCCTCTGGATTATACAGAAGAATTACAGGTTCCTGTGGCAGAAACCTCAGCAATTACCCTGTAATTTGGGTCTATGTACCTGGGCCCTGAAGCAGAGAGAGGTTCAGGGGAAGGGGTGATTGGAGTTGGCAGCTCAGCCAGACACCAAAAAAACATCAAAGTTCAGACTGATCATCTGGAGTATATCCAGCTTTAGACTCAGACCCCAGCTGCCTCACATGAGCCCCCAAAGGAGATTTAGGATATAATCTACCAGTTCCCCCTGCTGGAACCAGTGCTGTCAGGAACACTCACTCCAAAAGGTAAACCTTTCTCTGCCCACTTCCCCTCGAGACATTTGGGTTCAGATCTTCTTCCTGCCTGAAATAACCCCCAGATTTTGGTGAGTCACTGCCACAGGTTTGCCCAGAGAAGCTGTGGCTGCCCCATCCCTGGAAGTGTCCAAGGTCAGGTTGGATGGGGCTTGGAGCAACCTGGGATAGTGGAAGGTGTCCCTGCCCATGGCAGGGGGTGGAACTGCATGATCTGTGTATTTGGGCTTAATTACAGGCTGCTATTTTTTGGTCTGTGTTCGGCACAGCCACTTGTGAGAATCTGTTCTTTTCCTGCCAAGTTATAAGGAAACAAGCACTGATAAACGAGAACTTAGTCCTTGAAGGAAGCATTTTGTATGAACTATAATTAATTAGTACCTCACTATTGGCTGATGGCCCTTCCAGGGCATTTGAAGGAGAAAGTGAAGAGGAGGAGGATGAAGTAAGCCCCCATACTCATTCAGGAAAGACCCCCTGAGGTGCAGCATGTGGGCACAGGGACATTCCAGGGTACCCACCCGTGTGCAGAAGAGATGCCACCTGCAGAACAGGGGGAGGGACCAAAGGCCTCTGGCTGGGCAGTGCTGGTCACACCTGCCCAGGCAGACATCACCAATTAATTGTATAAAAAGCAGATGGTTGATGCTGGGAGTGGGACTCAAGCATCACAGGAAGGACAACGTTGCCCTTCACAGGGACGGTCGCTATCGTGTGAGCCTGCTGACACCCCGAGGGGAATTCCAGGCACTGGGAGCTGGTAAGACAACCTCATAAGTACAGCACCTGAGTGACTGGGGTGTTGTATTTAGGGTTTATTTCCCTCCTTTTCTCTCTCTCTCTCTCGGGTTCCTGTTTACTTGGCCACTTCTTTGTAATAAATATTGTTTGTGTTAAGCTTTCATCAGTGCACTGGTTCTTCAGTTTCGCCATCCTTCCCTGCTACAATCTGCAAAGTCCCTTCCAACCCAAACCATTCTATGATTCTATGACTGACACAATTCCTACAAAAACCAGACACAATATGTGCATAAGATGTCTTACTGCTCTGACAGTGTTTCTTAAGACTTCAGCCAAGACTAGGGTCCGCTTTAATGTCTATAACTATTAATATCCCAGCTGTGATTACACACTGTTACAGCTTTCAGAGGAAGAAACCATGATCTGTGCAGCCACTAAGGCAAAGAGTCGATTCCCAGTGACTGACTGTGGAGTTTGACCATCGTTTACTCCTGTCAAATAAGCTACTTGAGAAACCCAGAAACTAAATTCATAGAAGAAGCAATAGTCTCAAATTAAATAACTGTTAAATATAGACTAAGCTTGACTTATAACTGAAAATCCCTCTAAGCCAATGAGACTTTCCATGGTGCTTTAGTCTGCAGGTCCAGGCTGCTGATGGGTTATATACATGCAAATACGTGTTAACCTATAGAATTCTTTGAAAGAAGAGAAGAAAGTTCAGCCTCTTTTAGATTCCTCTTGGATTTTATATCCATTACCCAGTGTGAACTCCAAGACAGCGTGTGCTGCTAAAATATTGCATTAATACAATGGAAGAAACAGAGATTTGCAGCAATAATTGACAGAGTCAATGCTGGAAATTCTCTCACACACTGTGCAGCCCTCACACACATCAAGTGGAAAATCATCACTCATTACTTCTGCAAGTTGCTTAATGTAAAAGTGAATGAACTATTTCTGGGCCTGACTTATTAGAAATAGCCACAGGTTTTATGACCAATCAATTACACATTCCATGTAGACAGACAAGTCTGAATTCAGATTCACTATTCCCTCAAGATTTCCTCTTAAATGTATGTCAAAGTGAAGCACAGATCACCCTCAAGCTGAGTTTGCACATAATTCCTAATCTTCCAATATATTAAACTTTTGCCAGCAATGATTATAAATTAAAGGCTTTCTTATTTTCATCTCCATGCCCAGGAGAGTTACACATGTAAATTCTCAGGTGAATATGAAATATGAAAGGTGCACAAAATTCTAGAGAAGTGACTGGAGGGAAAAACTTCATTCTTTTAACACCAATTAATTTAAGAAAGGCTTTCACACCATTATTACAAGAAAAATGTGCACGTTGTCTTTCATGTCTGTAGCTGGTACTGTCTTCCAACAGATGCAAAATCCTAGTAAAATGGGAACCTTAAAGTGCCCAGCTTTTTGAATTCACATGTTCCTTTGGATGATTGTTACTGTAAATATGAAGAGCAGCAGCCATTGCAAAATATTTCAGATCTGGGTTTAAAGGCCTGAGGAAAGGACAGCTGCTTTCAAAATACAGGTATTTTCCACTCAGCAAGATGTTTGTACAAAGCAGAAAATAGAATACTTACTCTGCCTCTGGTTCACTGAGTGAAGGAACATACAAATGGGTTTAGGACCTCGAGAGTAAAAACAGTTCCAATTTTCAGCCCAATTAATGCACGTAAACTTGAGGTTTTATTCTTGATATTACATCAAATAACAAACTGAGAAACAACCTCGTGTCTTACCTTGTGGTAGCATCTGAAGTAAGCAGCTCGTTCATCTGAGAACTTCTCCAGCCTCTTTGGCCCTTTGCTTGAAGCTTTTTTGAATACTAACCAGCATCTCTGGTAAATCTGGAAACACAAGAGAGTACACTTGGCATCTGCAATGGCTTGAATATCACCAGTATTCATACAGGAGTTAAACTCATAAATCTGCTGTAGCTCTGGAGCTACAATTAATAACTCAGTAGCTTAGAGCAAACATAAAACTAAGCTAATGGGGAGTTACATCCTATTTCTTTGGAATTATAACACAACCAGAAATTCTTAGGAAGGTGCTTGGAAGGAAGAGCTGTAATTGTGCTTGCAAATGAATGCAGGGCTTTCTAGGAAACAGTGGCACACTTTTCCATGTGGATTTGCTCCTGCTTCCTGTCTTGCATGCCTAAGGGAGATGTGAGGAAAGCTTGAGCAGACAGGTAGGAATGGACCTTCCATCACACAGGCATGAGAGGTGACACTGTAAGAGTGTCATCTGTGTCTAAGGGAAACTGAGGATACAAAAGGGAGAAGGAACTGAATTACTGGTAATGAAGAAGCAGATCATTTATCTGCAGAACCAAGGACCATTCTGACACCTGGAATTTTGCTTCCAGGGTCTGGCTGAATTTATATTCAAGTCATTTGGGGCAGACTCCGTGCAGAGTGGTTGAAAAAAACACCTTTCCATCTACAGCATTAAGTCACTTCATCTCTCCAACTTCTGTCACCATTTCTTGCAATCTTCCCACCCATTCTTTAACTGTGGTGCACTTTCTACCATCCTCTTACATTCAAACCATGGCTCTCAGCTCTGCTAACATGCTGCCTGTATAGAAGGAAAGAATTATAAGCCTTGCCAACTGTTCACAGCCCACACTTAATCAGTAATTCCAAAGTAACACCTGGTAAGTTAGAAATAAATCAAAACTGCCACCAAAAATCAGTGTGATTTCAAAGAAAAAATCAGACCAGCCATTATCAAGTAGTTCACAGCACAAATCCACTGCAGTGATAAGTGATGAAGACCCATCAACACATCTCATTGCCCCAGCTAAGCCAGCACCTGACAGGTAACTCACAGACAAGGCAGCTCATCCTCTGAACCCCTGATGGGTTCTAATCAACGTATTCAGCACAATTATGTTCATAAAAAGTAGCTATAATTTCATTTCTGCACCCAAAAAGCTGGCTAGCTGTGCTTCTCTCACCAGTTTTTAGCTGTTTTTCCCAGCTGTATCATTCTCCCCCAGCTTTTCCATCCTGCCTCACACGTGGGCACTCACACTCCTGGCCCACTTGGCTGCACCAACATTTAACATATGGACAGGCTGCTCCCATGCCAGGCACCAGCTGAACCTATCAAGCTTTTCTTCCAGTTTTCCAGCTTATTGGCCACTCAACCTGTTATTTTTCATGCAAGGGTCTGAATTTAATTGTTCAAAAATGACTAGACACTGATCACAATGACAGCTTACACCAAAAGCACAATTTAGAAATGCACCTACTTTTCCTGAAAGAGTCTTTCTGCAATTGCCTTCAGAGGATTTTGTTCCCCACAGTTGAGGAAAAAAAAAAAGCAAAACAAAGCACCCCCCCCAAAAAAAAACCTGGCACATGTAAGTACTTCCAAGGATGCAAAAGTCAAATCAGTCCACAACAGAAACAGCAGTCTTTTGAGTTTTGGTTCCAATCCCACACTGCAACAATTCTCTAAGAGTCCCAGGGTTGAAATATTATGTCAGAGCCTGAGGAAAACATCATCACAACCCAAGTAACTAAACCTATAAAGGACAAATGGCATTTGTGATGCCAATGAGCAAACTGGAGGAAAGGCAGGTCAGGGAGGTCCCTCCCCTGAGCTTCCTCCTCCCTCTGTAGGAGCTGGTCAGCTCTCTCCCCTTAGGGAATCTCTGGGCAGAGAGATCCTACCACAACAGCAGTTTAAAGTAGAACAACATGTTTTGATTTGAGATAATTAACGATTTTTTGTCTGAACACACAGTTAGGAATCCCATTAATGTTTGTGAGGTGATGTTAACTCCTCTCTGCTGAGCTTCTATAAACAAACTTAAAAGAATATAAACGCCCTCACTGGAAACCCACTTAGAACCCTCAAAAATGAAGCAGTGGAGCCCTCAAGAATGGGTGCTATTAGCACAGTCCCATTTCTGTGCTCCCACAGGTGAACAGCCAGCACCATCTCAACAGAGCAGAAACTACATGATGCTTTAAACCTCCAGAAATAAAGGGGATTGGACTGAGTGACCTTTAATGGTCCCTTCCAATCCAAACCAATCCATGATTCTGTGAATAACCAATCTGGCAGCATCTGCCCAGAAGCCCTGAAAGCCCTCCAGTCAATGCACAGGAGAGATGATGCTGTGCCCAAGACAGGGAGCTCCTCATGACCCTGTTATGAGCTACAAAACAGAGCCAATAATTAGGTCCTTGATGCCACCACGGTCTAGCACGTGCCTGAGACTTGTCAGTGTTTCCTCAAGTTGAAGACAGCACATGAACTGTTTATGTTGCTAATGCTGTTTTGACAGCAGCAACAAGAACCAGCCCCAAATGCTCTTAGGTGCCTTTTCCATCATGAATAGGGAGCTCACTTATCCCTCAAATCAACACTTTACTACTCCATGAATAGGAATTACTTGAAAGTACTGCTGCAATTGCCTCCACTGCAACCACTCGGGCTGACAGTGATTAGATAATTCAAACAGCAACTCAGGATCTGATGTGCTGAGAGAGAACAGTAATAGCTGTCATTTACATAACACCTAAAACTTACCAAGTTTTCCCCTTGAGATCTTCTGAAAAAGTCTAACTTGGGATTTGGGTATCAAAAATTAGCATCTACTCCCTGTGGTCTCTCCTGAAAATTCCAGATTCTTACAGAGCAGGTGACAAAGCAAAACTTGAGGGAAATAATGTGACTGTTTATGAAGTGCAATACCCCAAATCCAGGGAGGTGATCCAATATCCATGTCCGAGGTCAGGCCAAGACAGCTCTATTTTTGGCTCTAAAGATCATCTGCTATAAATCATTACCACAACTGAAGTCAAAGGAGTGACTTCGAAGGAATGATGCAACCTGAGTATCTGGATTCCTGCCCCTCATTCCCAGGTTCCTTCTGGTGCTGGAAAGACACCATGCAGGAAAGGAGCTACTGACCTCAGCTGGAACTGGTCAGCATGGAATCATGGAATGGTTTGGTTGGAAAGGGCCTTAAAGACCATCCAGTTCCACCCCCACCATGGGCAGGGACACCTTCCACTAGACCAGGTTGATCAGAGCTCTGTCCAGCCTGGCCTTGGACACTTCCAGGGGTGGCATCTGGCTGAGTAAAGTGGAAAAATTCTTCTGGCTTTCTGGGCTTCATGGTTCAGTTGGGGTTTGAGAATATTCTCATGCAAAGAGGGAAACTGAAACCAGAGTCTTGCTGTCCTACGTGATGACCCAAACCCTGGAGTGTCCTGGAAACTGGGGTGGGGACGGAGACCTGTCAGTCCTCACCACCTCCCATCTGAGCAAGATCACCAGGAGCTGGATTTCTGAATGCCTAAAATGTCCTTCTTTTTACATGAAGCACAAATTATTCTGGCCAAGAAACAAAACATTTGAATTTAGATACTAAAATCTGCATTTCAGCCCAAAGCAAGTTTACCTCATCCCTCAGTAGTTTTGTTCAGGAACCAATCTAAAAAAGTATCTGGAAATAGCCAAATATTTAGAAATTGGATGGGGGGAGGCTACTTTTCAGATTTTGAGGCAGGGGGTTTAAAACTGTCTGTTTTTAAAAACTAAGATATGTGGCTTCCACCACATTAGGGCAAAGCAAACCTATTTTACTTCAGAACCAAACAATCCCTTTTATTTGTTTTTTAAGAGGGATCTAGAGGTCAGAAACAGCAGCACAAAGTCTCATCTGGCAAATTTCTCCTCTGTGAACAAGTGAACCTTCAGGGAAAGCTGCCCTGCTTTATTCCTGTGTTGTGTTTTTCTGCACTTTGCCCTAAAACAAAGAATTCCAATGAGCTGCATTTACAGGGACACTGAACTTGCTGTCAAATAAAAAACAACTTTGCTTTTTTAAAAGCAGTCGCTGCAAGTTCTCTCATGCAGCTTGGGATGCCTTCCAGAAACACTGGGTTATTGCCAGGAACTTTTTTGTGACTCTGATGAGTTCTAGAAACAGATAATCCAGTAAAGGCACAGTACAACAGTTTAAGAAATTTTTCAGTCTCTTCTGAACTTGTGGGTTTTTTGTAGTAAAAGAATACTGCACTTTACCCAAGGCTGGTAGGAAGCTCATGCACTGAAGGACCTCAGTTGCACATGCAAAATTATTTGAGTGTTTTGTTGGACTTTCAGGGAGTCTCCAGTGGGCTGGAGCTCCAGGTACAAGGTCCTTCCAACAGGGAGTTGCTCACACAGGCAACCAGCCAACATATGCCAAAGGTTTGGGTCTTAATTCTTCTATTTTAAAAATGCCTTAATATCTCACTTCTGAGTCAAAAGTTAAAAGAGCCCTGAAATAGAACTTTCAATTGAAAGGAAATCTGTGAGGAGACTGGATCTGGAATTTTGCTTTGCTTCTAGAAAAATGAAAGAGTGCCAACAAAGGCAGATTGCAGCTCATATATTTAATTATATTCCCCCCTCAGACACATTTGAAGCAGCAGATCTCCATCAGGGAGCTGTTTCCTCACAAAAACCTGGAGTACTGCTTTCTAGTAAAGAGGTCTAGGAATCAACAGGTATGATGCTGAATGGGACTGTGCAGTCCTAGGGAAGACCCCACAATCTTTCCACGAGTTCACAAACTAGAGCTACTTAATCTGAATCTATTTCTTCCATAAGACTATGACTTTTCTCTGTTTTTCCAGCCCAGTTTTGCTCCATACCCACTTCATCCCCATATTGACAGCAGAGTTCAGCTGTATTTCATTCTGACAAAAACACAATGTAAGTCTAAAACTGAAACTATTAGAAGTAGACAGATCACTAGAAAGAATCACATGCCTACCTTGTACTGAGTTGTGTTCAGCAGGACTTACACAATGCATGTAGAC